ACGTGGGAAGAGTCTCATGATGAGAAATAGAGGACAGACGGGATTAAGCCATACACGCACACACATTTGGGTGCCCTGAAATGTTAGCCATGCTTGTGGCTTAGGTAGTAGAATATTGGCTGACATTGTTTTCTTCTTTAACTTGGCTGTATTTTTCATATATTTTTAGGTAAGTTGTAGTACTTTTTAGAATTACAAAAATAAGTATAATGTTTTTTAAAAACATTAAGTATAGGGCCGGCCGAGTGGCGCGTTGGTTAGGAGCTGGCTTGGGATGCCAGAGGGCCCTGGTTCAGATCCCACATATGAGGGCCAGTGACACTGCCCTCCACAGCTAAGATGCTGAACAACAGCTCAACCTGGAGCTGGGCTGCAATGAGTCGCCGGCAACGGCGTAGGCTGCAGCCCCTGTGGCAGTGGGTTGCCATGGGCTATCGTGTGTAGCCAGCAGCCAGCGTGAGCGGCCAGCAGCCGCAGTGAGCGGCCGTCCAGAAGCCGGTGACTGATCTGCCTCGCCCGGGAAGAGCGCAATGATGGTGCCAACTTGGGCTGGTGGAGCAACGTCCTCCACAACTAGACTGAAGAACAAGACGACAGCAACTTGTCTGTTCCCCTTCCCCCAATTCCCCAACGCTGCTCCCATCCCCCAATTCCCCAATAAAATCTTTTAAAAAACCCCCAAACATTAAGTATATTGTTTTAAAAATGATCTGGCTGTTGATAACTTAATTTGTGAATTCTGGAGATCCCACAGGGGTTACTGTATCTCCAAGAAAACTTACCAAGGGAGAAAGGTCAGGATGGGGGTCCCGCCAAGCCCCCTTTCCTGCGATGTAAGCATGAGGAGGCGGGTTCCTCACCCTCTTTGATATCAGACTCCTGTTGCCGAGGTTGCACTGGCAGTTTTGTCGGAAGCTGCAAAGTTTAAAAATATCTCTATCAGGTGTATCTGCTCCGTCTTGCCCTCTGGATTCTAAGGTCCCTGAGCAGCTCTTCCTCCCTGCAGTCTCTCTCCTGCCCCTCATCTCTAAGGCTGGACAGTCAGGGATTCTATATTAGGAACCAGTGCAGGGAACGGAAGTCACGTGGCTGGTTATGTACAGGGAGGCCTCCCCTCCTACCTCCCATCTCCCCACCCCCACCCCAGGCCTCTCCCCTTTGCTAGCTCCACACTAGGGACCAAGAGCTTCAAGACCCCTGTTTGTGCAGCCCGGCTCCCAGGGCACCTGAGTGTGGTCAGGACTGGGCTCTTGCAGCCTGCATCACCTGTGTGGAATTGGGAATGCCCCAGTGGGATTTGGGGGTTGCAGGGCCTGCAAAGAGGGCAGCAGCCATGTGGCTGCCTTGAGCACCATAACTCCACAGCTGGGGACCCCTGAGGGCAGAAATGCATGGACATCAGCCAGAGAACCAGCTGGGGGAGCACCCCTCTCCTGGAGGGAGGGTACCACCCCGTACCTGGATTGGCTGGATGATAGGTTTCTCCCAAACCAAAGTGCCGTGGGTTCAGCACATTAGGGCCTGGCTCTCAGCGCACCTGCCAGAGGCTGTTCTAGAACAATCCATTTTGGGAAACTCCTTGAGTGTTGTTATTCAACAAATACTCCTGAAAGCTCACTCTAATGTCTGAGCTGGGGTAGTTATGAATGTTCCTTGTTTAAGTTAAAGTTGAATTCACTCTCCCAATAACCCTGGGAGAGAAGTCTTAGCTTCCTCGTTTCACGGAGGAGGGCCCTGGGGCCCTGAGAGAGGTGGGGTGACTTATCCAGGGCTGCCTGCAGGTGACTGGAGGATTCGATCTCCATCTTTCTGCCCACCTCACTGCAGCTGCTGGAGTGTGGGCGCAGGAAGATGCCACCGAGAGCTGAGTCCCTGTGTCAAGCTGGGCCAGGTTTCTGTGCTTGCTCTCCTGCTGGCTGTTTGGTTGAATTTTGCTCCTAAGCCCAGGGACGGAGGCACCCCCATCCCCCAACCCAGGACAGGTGGCCATTTTCCCATGTCCCTCTTCAACCCCCAACTTCTGTTTCTAAAACTGTTGAGTCAAAAGTGAAGAGGAAAGAGGCAGAAATTGGAATTCGTTGCAGGGGAAGGAAACACTGGGAATAAATAAATGAGTTTTCTTAATATATCCACAGCCTTGATACAAATACCAAAAAGCCCCACTGCGTGATTTTGCACAAATGACCTCAACCTTCTGTGCGTCTCCCTCACTGTAAAATCAGGCTAGTGGATGGGTTCGTAGTCTCACATTTTGGACCAGATCATTCTTGTGGGGTGGCGGGGGTGGTGGCGAGGGTGGGTGGGGGTGCTGTCCTGCACATTATAGGTTATTTAGCAGTCTCCTTGTCCTTCACCCAGTAGATACCAGTAGCACCTGCCTTCCAAGTTGTTAACAAGTAAAAAGTGTCTCCTGACATTGGCAAATGTCCCCTGGGGAACAAAATTGCCCCCACTTGAGAACCACGGGGCTAGCGGTATCTCCCTTCATTATTGTTATAAAATCCTCAAAAAACTATTTCCTTCCTTCCTTTTATTCTTCCTTCCATTCTCTCCCCCGCCCTTCCCTCTCTGGGCTTGATTCTTCTTCTATGATGAGACCAATGAATGAGATGATTCCTGAGGTACCCGCCACTCCAGCTGGTCGTGATGTTCAGTGCTGGGACCAGAGTTGGCAAGGCCTTTGTAAGGGGCAAGAGTTTGGTGCCTCTCGGATCCAGGAGGAGCAGTGAAGCAGGTGGCTCTCAGGAAGAAAACTCACGGGCTTAGTGTTAAGCGAGTTGGGAACATGTCATGGGAAGGTCCCCTGTGCTGCAGCTTGGGTGGAACTAGGGGACACTGGTTATCCTCCTCATGCCTTTGGGACAGTGGGGCTGACATCCAGCCAGTGCTCACCTGCCAGGCTGAACCTGGTGGGTTACAATGTGACCGCCAGGGCCTGTGCTGTATGTCGATATTACCCTGACCAGAGGGGTCCCTCTGGTCCCTCTGTGTTCCTTACCTCACTTCTTCTGGTGGCCCCCTGTCTGTCTGGGATTGGGTAGCTCTGTCTCACTTGGCCTCTGGTCAGGGCCCCCATTCTCCCATCCAGCTTTGTCAGTAATACAGCTCACATTTGGAACTTGGGGTCCTCTATTTTTTTTTTTCTTAATCATTTCAGGACTTCGGGATTGGAAAGGAGGCTGGTTAGTGGACTTCTTGGGAAAGCCACCAAGCAGCTTAGGGCCTCGGAGGCTGTGGCTCTGTCTGGCCTCCACCCTGCAGGTTCTGAGGCTTGTCTTGTTCAGCTGCCCCGATGCCTACACCATACCTAGGGGTGGCCTGTCCATCTTCTGACCCTTCTGTGCAAAGGCACCTCGACACCACCACCTAGAAGTCCAAAACCAGCTGGTGGTGCTGGGGTGGTGGCGAATGACTCACATGAGAGCCAGAGAAACCGGCCTTGACCTGCGCATTAGCCACTCTCCTTCCCACTTCTAGAGGGTCCACAGCGTCCCCGAGACTCAGGGACACTGTTTACCTTAACTGCCTGCAAAGACTTGAGGGGAGCTCAACCCCCTCCCCCCAACATCAAGAAGAGAACATTTTAAAAATGTTTTTATTTAATTAAAAAAAAGACAGAACTAACCCCAAACCGGTAGTAGGTACAGGATTCACAGGTGCTTAATTGGCAAAACACACAGGGGCTGATTGGAGAGGGTGGTGGGATGGAAGGGTGGTGAGGGGGCGGGCACAGGCCACCACATCGCCCCCTTGGGTGCAAGGTCTCAGACTGTCAGTCGGCAGGGGGCCAGCTCCGCTCCCTTCTCCAAGCACGTCCTGGCTGAGATACCATGGGGAAGAGGGGGGCAAACCAGAGATGAGGGTCCCTCCCAGAGCCTGGGGCGGCAGTGTGGATGGAGAGAGGCTGTGAAGACCAGGGGTTCTGAGGTTGTTCTGCTCCCTGCTCGGTCGCTTCTTTCTACTCTTTCTCGGTCCCTAGAGTGGGCTCCGTGTTCTCTGCCTGGGACTGGGCGAGAGGTAGGATTCATTGGAACACAGCTTTCTCCATGAGATGACAGAAACTTCTGGGGGGGAGGGGGCTTATGTGGAAGAAACAGCAGGGCTGCCTTGCTTTTGGCAAGGACGGAAGAAGGGTCTCTGGGCCTCCTTGCTGGGTGATGGGTCCCTCGATTTCATCCCCTTCTTTCTAGCCTGGAAAGATGGTGTCATGGCGTAGAGGGGGTGAAGGTGGCCTGGGGTGAGGGCGTGGGGACGAGGTTGGTCCACAGCAGGGGCAGGCCTGTTGTGAGCCCTGACTCTCCAGCATTCACGGTTGTACATGCTTGGACAAACCACCACACAAAGCCAACCTCAATGGGAGGGAAGGGTTCCAAGCAAGCACAGAGGGGCCTGGCACGCCACACCTCAGCTCGCCAGCACACAAGGGCAGTCCAGTAGAAATGGGACAGTGGAGATTTCCTCTCTGGGGGCAAAAGGAGGATGACAATGACCATGACCTGGATATGAACTCCTAGGGGCCGAGTCCGCCCGGCGGGGGTGGCGGGGGTGGGGGGGGGTGTTGTGAGCAGGTGGCTGAGGTAAGAATTGGCTTGTCACTTCTAAGTACACGGCTACTGGGATCACAGACAACTGCTCAAGATTGTATTACCAAGTCTCAAAAAGTAAGAAAGGAAGTGTCTTTAGAAAGCACGTGTTTCATATAAAAGAGGGTTAGCTCCACGTTCCAGAAAGTTTTTCTTCTGAACCCACACATGCTTCCAGGTTGTCTCCTGGCTTCAGGAAGCAGACAAATGTTTGGGGAAAAAAAAAATGTCAAACAGGGAAGCTGCCTCCTTGGTTCCAAAGCGCCGAGACGTCCCTTTCATGAGGAGGAAGAAAAGCATAGCCTGGCCCTTCATCCAAACTTCCTCACTGAGCCCTTGCAGGTGGTGGCAGAATAAGTTACAACAAGAGGGATTGGGGGGAGGTTTCTCATTTTAAAATGAGCAAACGAATGTAACTTGCTCTCCTGGCATTTATTTGCAATAAATCATGATGAATAACCACCTAGGAAATGGATGTTTGTTCTCTGATTTTGTTTTGGTGGCTGTTCACCCTTGGGTCTCCCTTTCTTGCCCAGAAGTTCAGGCTCCTGTTGCTAAACACCCGTGGGAGGGGGCATCTGCCCTCCCCCTCCCCCAGGAGAGACGGAGCGGCTACTCAGGCCTGTCGGGCAGGACACAGCAAGAGGCCACATGGCCACCTTTCTTCCGACCCATGGAATCTTCCAGACTCTCAATTACAGTCAGTGTGGTCTGCCCTTTGTGTGTGAGGAAGAAAGCTCCAGAAGCAGACAGGAAACCCAGCAACAGATTCCAGCCTTTACCTCACGCCCAGGCCAGCGAGAACCTCCTCAGGTCGAAGGGAGCCAGCCCCAGGACAGCACAAAGGCCAAAGCACCAGTTGGCTGCAGGGCTGTCTCCTCAGGATCACTGTTATCGCAACAACAGGCCACTGCCAGACAGGGAGACAGACAGACCGACAGACAGATAGGGAGGCAGGGGCTTAAGCTTCCGCGTTTCCAGCTCCCAGACACGGCAACCTCAGGTCGAAAAGCAGATGACCGGTGTCCTAAGGCCTCCATTTGCCCGGCGAAAACCCTGATTGCCCATCGCCCAGGCAGGAAGGGAGGGCCCTGAAAACCCGTTCTTCTGGCAAGATTTGTTTCCAAGAGGAAATAATGGCTCGATTTTGTTGACGCAGGTTGGCGACGGCTGGGCAGCCTCAGGAGTGTGCTTGGCCTCCTGGAAGATTTTGGAACCTGGGGCATCAAAACAGCCTTTTGGGGGCTCGTCCACCTTCCGCTTCTGGTTCCAGGCTCCTGGCACGTCGCTCCGAGCCAGCCCGTGACACATCTGGAGACCCGGGAGGGTGGTTGGGTTTGGCTTCCGTCCATTGTGGGTCCATTTTAAGGGTTCAGTGCCCTCGTGTGGGATCCAAACAGCCATTCTGGGGGAGAGGCCGGCGCTGGACAGGGGCGCTCACACCGGAGTGGTCCGCCGGTTCAGCATGCTGATGTGCAAACCTTCCTTCAGGTCCTGCTGGAAGAAGTCGTGCACCTGGAGGAAGCTGGCTTCCTGGTCGGGGCTGTAACTGGCGGCAGTGGTCACCTTGAGGGGCTCCCGGGACAGGGTGTACATGGACAGCTCCCCCATGGGGATGGCCCCGGTGATCTTCAGGCCCACTGGTGACGCGTCCCTGGAGGGCGAGGCCTCCGTGGACCTCGAGCTGGACCGCGAGCGCCGTCGCCGGTATCTGTAGCTGGGCATCCTGGCGTAGGGCGACGAGGAGGGGGCCTTAAGGAACTCTCGTCTGGTCTTAAATCTCAACTCTTTGTTTTTCTCAATGTAAATGTTCACGGCCAGGACGCCCACGGTCTCAGCCACAATGAACGACAGGGCTCCAAAGTAAAAAGACCAGCCGTAGTTGTAATGGTTTTTTTTGTCTTCGTCGCGCTTGTCGCTTGGGTCGCCCGTGTTACTGGAAATGTAGACGATGATGCCAATGATGTTACTGAGGCCTGAAAGGGAAGCAGGAAAGGGTGCGGGAGGGAGACAGCAGAGGTTAGACCCACAGCAGGATAGGGGATAGGTGGGCGGAGGGCGGGCTGGTGGCCACTCCCCGTTTTGATGGGTATTACTTCAGTCTGGTCACTAACTTGTCTTTCCAGTAATAAATTTTGATTGGGTAACAAAGTACAAACACACACACACACACACACACACACACACACACACACACACACACATATTGCCCTGGAAGGAAACAAAAGCGGAAGTGGTGTAGGAGTCAGAGCCCCCTGGGCTCTGCCAACCTGGCCACAAGATTGTGAGCTGGTCCTCTGTTCTTGCTTTGACCCTCAATTCCACGCTGTAAACAGAAGCCACCTTTCAAGAGAAACCGTGAGGAGAAGACGAGACGGGGATGAGGATGACCTATGCGTACCTACGTGGGTCAGGTACCACTCACGGCCCCTCCCCGTCCTCAGCAAAGTGGGCACGACCACCACCATTGCTGGAATTCTCATTACCAACATCCAGATACCACCTGACCATGTTAGGATGTGCAGACCTGGAGCAGCGAGGGGACAGGGTTGAGCTGGAGCTCAGGCCACCTCCCCAACACTGCTCCACCTTCTCTGGCTAGTGTAAAAAAAATGGCACTTTGAAAGCAAAAACACTGTTAGGACGGTGCAAGGATCTAGGATAACAATTTAGGAAAGAATCGCTGAGCTTCGTAACATTTTTCACATTTATTTACTGGAACGAGGCCAAAGAAGTCAGGCAGCTCCTGTTTCTCCTTAGGGGGACCCCTGTCGCACCTTTATCTGAACGCCACAGGTGCTGCCAGGGCCTTGAGGATGCCACCAGCCAAGCTCTGCCCGGGCAGGCACCCTTTCCATGGGCCCTCAGAGACTCATGGCCAGAAAACTGGGTTCTTGCGGAACTATATGCACCAGCCAGCGACTAACCAGCTGTGTGACCACTTCTGGTCTGGATCTCTTCCACGTTTGCAATGGCAAGGCATGCTCTGAATTGTCTCCATCGAGGCTCAGAGGAGTGACAGTGTTAGGCCCTTTTGGACCCGTTAAGCAGGGGGTATGTTACTGTTGCCATAGCTTTGCGGGTTTTCACTAGGTCACAGTGAGGGGGTGGTGTGAGGTGTTGCTGTCCGTCTCAGCCAGGAGAGCTGGGCAGTCAAGGTGGGCAGAAGGGTCTGCCCTGCTCTCGCCCGAGCCCTCTCACTCACCCCTGCCCCAGCCATGGTGGGCTTCTCAGCTCCTTCCTCACCCTCGCCAGCCCTGCACCCCCAACCCTGTCTATATCTGCTCAGCTCCTTTGGGCCTTGGCACCCGTGAGTACCTCTGGGCACCTCCCTGACCCCCGACTCTGCCAGGCGTCCCTGTTCCAGGCTTGGGAGGCAACAGTGCTACCCCTTTGTGGCACTTTGCACACCTAGACTTCTTATTTTTTACGTAGCAGAAAATTAACCATTTACAGTGCACAATTCAGTGGCGTTTAGGACATTCACAATGTGGTGCAACCACCTCTATCCACTTCCGGAACGTTTTTGTTACCCCAAAAGGAGACCCCGTACCCGGTAAGCAGTTGTTGCTCCCACGCCTCGCGCCAGCAGCCCCCGCACACCCGGACTTTTGAAGCTCATTATGCACGTGGCTGTACGGTTTGCCTCCCCACCAGGATGTGCGCTCTGTGCAGTGGGCACCAGAGCGGGCGGCTCACCTGCAGCCACGAAGAGGATGCCTGCACTGAGGACAATGTTGTTCTTGCGGCTGTAGAACCTCCCGGCGCCAATGCAGAGCCCGCCGAGCAGGAGCAGGATGGTGCTGAGGATGGGGAAGACGCTGGAGGCACGCACGATGCCTGGCCGGGCAGGAGACAGAGCAGACAGGACAGTGAGACTGACTGCCCTCCTGGGCGTGGCCATGGTATGGCCAGGAGCCCCAGGGCTCCAGGCCCTTCCCCCTGACTTTGCAATTCCCATCAGGCCATGGACATGGTGGTGGGTTGGGAGCTGGGGCGAGGTGGGGGCAGCTGGACCAGATGCAAGTGATGGCCCGAGCCTGCTGGTTCTCCCCCTCTGACGCCAAGTGGGCTGGAGTCGCATCTACCCACATCTCGCTTAGGCTCTCCCTGGGTGTGTGGGTCATACTTTTGCCAGCCAGAAGGGAGGGGAAGCCCTCAGTGGCACCATGGAGGCCACAATAACAGCCATGAAAACACTGGGCTGCCTCTCATTCGGGGGACACCTCACAGCCCCCTGAGTCCTTTCATAGACACCATCTCCACGAAGCCTCTGGACAGCTGGGAAGCGGCGCCTATGAGAGGTGGCTTCAATGGGTGGCTGAGGACACAGGCTTTGGCATAGGGTGGGTTTGGGTGCAGGCCCTGCTCTGTGACATGCTGGCTGTGTAGCCTTAGTCAAGTCACTTCACCTTTCTAAAACTGAGTTTCCCCATGTGTGGAACACAGTTCGTAACAGTTCCTATGTCCTACGGTTGGTTTTGTACCTAAAGGGGCTTAACACAGGGCCTGGCCATAGCACACACTTCCTTAAGTGACAGCCGTCATCTCCATCATCATCATCATCACCATCATTGTCATCAACCCCAGGTGACAGATGAGGACATGGAAGCTCAGGACCTCCTGAGGTCACAGAGGAGGCTCAACAGGGTGGGGCATGCATGGACTGTGGTGACCAACAGAGCTAGATTTGCACCCTTGCTCTGCCACTGACTAGCAGGGTGACCAGGACAGCTCACTTCTGACGGTTACCATCCCCTCTTTTATAACCTGGGGAGAATAGTAACACCTACCTGTGGGGGGGTTGAATTGTGTCCCCCAAAAGACATGTCCAAGTCCTAACTGCTCGTACCTATGCAATTGAGTTTATTTGGAAAAACGGTCTTTGCAGATGTGATGATGCTAAAGATCTCAAGATAACGCCATCCTAGATTAGGGTTCACTCTAAATCCAATGACAAGTGCCCTTATAAGAAGAGGAGGAGACACAGGTGGAAGAGAAGACACATGGGGGGAAAGCTGTGTGAAGATGGAGGCAGAAAAAGGAGGGATGTAGTCCCATGTCAAGGAGGCCTGGGAGACAACGGAAGCTGGAAGAGGCAGGAAGGCGTCTTCCCTAGAGGCCTTGGAGGGAGCACACGCTGCCAACACCGGATTGAATATTTCTGGCTTCCACACTGTGAGAGGGTAAATTCCTGTTGTTTTAAGCCATCCAGTTTGTGGTCATTTATTATGGTGGCCCTAGGAAAAGACGATACTGCCCAGCAGGGTTGTTGTGAGAATTTGATGGAATCAGGTTCATAAAGCACTTAGTAGGGGCTTGGGGATGTGGGTCCCCCTTCCTTAGCATCTGGCTGGGAGGAAGGGTAGGGAGATGTGAAGAGGAGCTCCGAGCCCAGCCCTCCTGATGTGCCTGCAGGTCTCTCAGCCCAGTAGAAATCTCACTAGGTGGACCCTTGGTGGCCCCAGCAGGGGACAGTGTGTTGTGAGGCGCTGGCAGGAGCCAACCTTCTGAGCCAGCTGAGTCTGTCTGTGGCCTTTCAGCCTCTGAAGACAGCGTTTGTCCTCTCTTCTGTGAGTCCACCAGTGTGTGCCCTGCTTCACAGAGAGGGGTTTGTTTGGGGCCTTAAATGAAGCCCTTCTCTGCACAACCTCCTCCTCTTCCCTCTGGCTTCTTGCAGCCGCAGGCTCCAGGAGGAGGTTTCCTGTGGGCTTCTGAAACGTGCCCCTGAGCTGTGCTGGCCAGAAAAGCCAGGATCAGGGTCCCTTCGATGCCCTCATTCTGCAGATGGTTCAGAGGGGTGGAGAGAAGGGTGCCCGGCGCCTCTGAGTTTGCTGAGGTCAGGCCTAGCTCAGAGCCATCCATTCTGCTCAGGTTAGTCACGTGAGCACCTGTCCTTCGCCATATGAGCTCAGTCTGGAGCTCCGGGTTTGCAGACACCAGCCGGGGTCGCTGTGCAGTGGTGCAGGTTGTGTTTGCACAGAGCTTTGGGGATGAGCGGGGCTGATGTCCAGCCCAGGTCCCATGGTCAGATCAAGCGCTGGCACACCTCCTTCTAACTCGTTCTCAGGCACGCTCAGCAGCCCTGACACCAGCACTCTGAGGCTTAACATAGAAAGCATCCAGCTAACTGGAAATGCGAAACCTGGAAAAGGGGCGCCAGGCCCAGGGTGAGATGCTCAGGAGGCAGTCGGGCCAGTGGGGCCAGTGGAAGAGAAGCAGCAGGCAGGGTGTGGGGTGGTGAACCCTCAAACCCCACACCTGCCTGTGGATCTACAAATCAGCAGTGGCATCGCCAGAGCCCAGAGGCCATCAGAAAGCCCTGTGACAGTGATCTCACTCAATGCAAGCCCGGTGTCTCTGGAAGGCTTCAGAATGCATGGCTTGAGGGTGGGCTTTGTTCTCGAGTTGTCGCAGGTGGGATATGAGGAGCACAGCCTTAGACCTGCTGGGGCTGGTGCCCACACCCAGACAGCTGACCTGCTACTCCAACAAGCTCTCCCACGGGCAGTCCACTGGGAGCCTTCTGTGACCTCCGACACACCCGGTCTCCACTAGAATATCCGCAACAGGAGGGCAGAGCTGTTTTGTTCACTGCTGTATCCCACATGCCTAAAACAGTGCCTGGCACATAGTAGGCCCACAATAGCTTTCTGTTAAATGAGTGAATAAATGAATTCCCATGAACCCTTGTCCCCTGCAAACATCAGTCCCCAGAGCTCTCTCTCTCCTGTGCTTCTATATATTTTGGGGATCCAGTGTCTGGACATCGACCAGAGGACTGAATACTGGGGACCATGGCGTCCTGGGAAACATGGGCTGGATGACTGCGGTGACCGTGACCTTGGCCTGTCCTGGGATGTTGCCTACTCCCTCTCGCTCTAAGCTCATAGGATGTGGAGCTCAGTTTTAGGGCCAGTTCTGCTTCTGCAGCCCCTGAGTGGGAAACAAGGGGTAAAAAAAACAACCCTTCTTGTCAGAGAGTCAGCTCTGCCCTCCACCCCAATTCCACCAGCAGCCGGAGATCACAGGCCTTGAAGCCGTCACCCCTTCTCTTCCTGAGGAGTCTCCGGGCTTGTTAATGATCCCGCTGGTCTCCCCATAGTGTACATTTGAGGAGAACATTTCCTTCTCAAATGAGCTTTAATTGCTGTTGTGCTGTCACTATCCTTTTATTTGGGAAAATCATCGCTGGGCCCTCGGAGCCCTCACACCCTCCCCAGTGCACCGCTGGTGGGGTCCACGGAGAGCAGGAGCCTGAGAGATGGCCAGAGAGCGGTGCGTTCTGATCTTCCCTCCAGACCCCCATTCCACCTCTCTCCATCCTGCTCTCCACCTGGGAGGCTGATGCCGTGGATAGATGAGTGATCGGGCTTCCTTGACTCTGGCTTTAGGAGGAGAGTGCAGGTGACATACTTCTTCCCCTGGCTTTCTTCCTGCGGGCGGCACCTCAGGTGGCTGCATTGCCCTGCACTCACGGCTCCCCTTCTCCAGGTTCCCATGCCGCCTCCTCCCTCTCCTGTCCAGGCCCGGGAGTGTACGGGCTCATTCTGTTGCTCACCCCGGTGTGCTCACTGTCCCTTCCAAGTTTCCCTTTACCTCGACTTTTGTCAACAGTCCTGCACTAACGTCCTTCATTCACTCCATCTGAGCACACCATCTGCTTCCCGCCGGGACCCCCAGGAAGCCACATCCTCTGACCTCTGGGCTGATATGTCATGAGGCCAGTCCAGAAAGAGATTCTAGGGCTCTGGGGACCATGAGGAGGACACGGGCAGGGGAGTGAAGAGGAAGAACTAGCACCGTGCCCATAACTTCACGTGAGTTCAAGTGGGAAATGCAGAGGGCGGGGTTTCTTTCTCCAGTGTCTCCTTCCTCACGGTCCCAGGGAGGTCAGTAGTGCAAACCTGCCCTCAGAGCCGGAAGAACCACCTGATCGCTCTGGGTGGGGCACAGAAGGCCAGGCTCTGAGTCAGGGTGGTTTCATTTGAGCCATCCCAGCTGGGCTAAGCACCAGGGGCCACTCTAGATGGTTGTGCAGGTCACACACTGTACAGCTTGAAGGGTGTCATTTATACCATCGTCTATGCGAGTGGCATCCCCCAAGTTGTGCAGTGTGCAACCTGCACAACTCCTTGTGGCGGTCTATGGATTCTCATTTGCTCCGTTCAGTGTTGGCCCCCAGGAAGCAGAAAGAGAGTTCAGACAGGAGGAAGAGGAGAAAGTGAGGGAAGATCTGGCCAAATTATTTCAGGTTCTGGGCTTGGCCAGAGCAGCCTGACACTGCCCCGGGCTCCACAGGAACCACAAGCTGTTCTGTTTCACTAGATGACTCAGAACCAAACTCCTTTCTCTTAGGAAAAAAACGATCCATAAGCAGGTGCAGAGTGAATTGCGCTCCCTCGGAGGACACTGGTATCGATCCTCCATAAATGAAGCCAGGCCAGAGCCCCTGCGGGTGCTGCTGTGAGCGGCTCCGCGTGACGGGAAGAGAACTTCCAAGTGGTGGTGCCTTTTCCATTTCCAGGTTCCTTTGTCCCAGGCAGGTATTCACAAGCTCGGGGGTGAGGTCCGGACTTAGGACGTGGGGCGGGGTTTGTCCTTCAGGGTCTGTATGTGCTGTGGCTTCTGGGCTCCGTTCTGGGGCCAGCCCAGCCACAGGCTGCAGGCAGGGCAGGGGCAGACCTGATGGCGCCACCAGTTGGTGCTGAAAACACTTGAGGCCCACATATCAGAGGCTGCTCCTGCCACCTTCCTCGCCTTCTCCCACAGGCTGCCTGGCACCCCAGCAGGCTGTCTTAGCGTGCGGCTTAATTTGGGTTTTTGAGAGTAGAATTCTGGGGGTGTGAGGGGAGCAGTGGGCAGGTCCAGTGCTAGCAGGGCAGTGTGCTTGGGGGGGAGGTCACAGTCCCTCAAGGATGCTCGGCCAGGACAAGCCCATGTCTTTAACCTCCTGGCCCCAAACCCACCTGCAGCAACAGCTCCTCCAAAGCTAACCACACCCAGGCATGGGCCTATCAGCCAAGGAACTGCACTGGGATGCCCAGCATGTCACGGCAGCGTTGAACAAAACTCCATCCCCTGAACTAAGAATTCTGAATCAGAAAGGGGGTGACAAGGGCATGCAGAGAAAGGCACCCCCTCCACTTGGTCTTTCTGCCAGCTGCCCACCCTCCACCGGTTTCCCCTCCACACGCAAAGGAAGTGAGAGGCTCTCGACACTCACGAAGGAGATACTCTGAACTGTCGTGGTCATAATCATTGTCCTCTGGGAAGTGATTGATCCGGAAGCAGTGCCCTTTGTAGATCCCTGGAGGGAACAAGAGGAAAAGAACATTGTAACTGTCCCATGGGTTCACGCATCCATTCATTTCAGACCTGGCTACGGTGTGTGTGCCAGGCTCCGTGCAGGCCCTGGGCATGGAGAGAAAAGAACGGCTCAGGTGTCCCCGGTCTGGTGAACACTCACAGAGAATGACTGGGCAGTGAGAAAGTGCCCCAAAGGTGACCATGCCATTTATGGTCCGTGTCTGATTTTTCACCTGCGAGGGTGAAAGGACACACCATCAATAATTATGCAGGGACAAGAGGCCTCAAGAAGAACCGCCTCAGGCAAACAGGATGTGTAGCCCCCTACCCAAGGGCACTGCAGAGTCATGTCTTAAAAAATTTGCCACTGGGAACTGGGTGGAGGGGGCCTTCTAGGCAGAGGAGGAGGCCATGAAAAGACAGGGTTAGGGTTAGAGCTTGGTGGATTCGGGGAGTGGAGGGAAGTTCCGTGAGGCTGGAGCTTCGAAGGACCGTGGCGGGGGAGGGGCCGGGGCTGAAGAGGGGGCTGCAGGCCCTGTCAGGGGAGCCGTGGGTCAGGGAAGTCAGAGTGGAATCTTTTCCCCACAGTGTCTGTCTGTGTCTTTCCCGCTGTCTCACACACGGTTATGGCGAATCCCTCCTAAAGTACATGCCGAATCTGTACACTGTACACAACCTGATTCCAATCCCCTCAGTTGATGGAAGGAAGAGAACATGGAGCAAAAGAAATTTCCAGAAAGGCCGAGGCATCTCCTGCCTGGTCTCCCTTCCCCACTTTGAGAAGCAGCCTTCACAGGGTGGGAGGCAGGACACCCTGGGCAGTTCAGTCACTGCAGGAGGACAGGCCAGTCCTCCCTTCCAGAATCTTCCATCCAGCTCTCCCAGCCCCTGCTCCCCTGCAGTCTGGGAATGCCCAGCACAGAACTGGACACAGGTAGAGGTGGGGGCGCACAGGGTATCAGGCCCTGCCCTGCCAGCCAACCCCCTCATACCTGGGGCAGCATCCCTGCTCATGCAGGCTGGGGTCAGGGTGGCTTTCCTCTTGATCACAAACGCTCGTGATTTTCCGCCAACTTAACCACCCACAGAAGAGTGAGGACCCGCGGAGCATAGGGCAGGTGATTTCTGGGTCCAATGGCAGTGAACCCCCCCCCCCCCCCCCCCCCCCCCCCCCGTCCATGTCATCACCGTGGGCTAAAACCCAACTAAGTGCCTTTTAGGTATTATCTTGTGCGAGTCTCCTAAGATCCTTAGGAGATAAGACCTGTGGTTATCCCCATTCTATAGATGAGGATGGGTAATTAAGTTGTTCCTTGACCTGGCACGAATACCACATATCACATCTGTGCTTTCCAGTTATTTCTAATAATGCTGCTATAAACATTTATGTACAGGTTTTTGCATGAACCTGGGTTTTCATTTTCTGGGATAAATGCCCAAGGGTGTAACTGTTGGGTCATATGGTAGTTGTATGTTTAGTTTTAAAAGACACTGACAAACTGGTTTTGAGGAAGGCTATACCCCTATTTTTGAAACAGAATTATACAATACTCTTTACTCCATATCCTGCTTTTTCCATTTAACACTATCTTATCTACAAACATCTCTCCAAGTCAATACCTGTAGATCTAACTTTTTAAAAAAACCAGTGCATTTTTAATAAAAATACAATAACTTCATACTTTTCCAAAAGTTGCTGAAAATCCTAGAAGAAATAGTATTGGGACTAGGGGGATAAAACTTGTTCCAACACTGATAATGTTAAAAGAAAAACATGCTTTGGCAGAAATGAGGAAACCATATATTTATATGTTCAGTCTGAAAGTACAACTTAGGTTTTGAAGCACTATTAGCTCGCATATAGACACATTTATTCCAAATGCTCCTCCAATACATTTGCTAACCTCCACTCCACACTGCGGGCACTATTTCATATTTGACAGAAATTGTAAATAGCAATCCCTGTGTGACATATTAGCTCGTTTTTAACACATTCCTTCTAGTGGCTGCTTAGCCATCCGTAGTTATGGCTCACCAACTCAACTATTCCATAGACATTAACATTCCCCCTTCTTGGGACCATGTGTATACACATGGATCCCACCACAGGGGAATTATGCTGTAAGGCACACTGAACGCATGCACTCTGCAGTCCCTCTGCCACTAACTGACTCCTTTCCTTTCCTCACTCCCTTTCTCCATCTGCACCGAACTCTTCTGCACAGACTGAAAGGATGGGTGCTGTTGGAAGCTGAACTGTGACCATCCCAAGAGATATGTTGAAGTCCTAACCCCTGGTACTTGTGAACGTGACCTTATTCAGAAATAGGGTCTTGAAGATGTAACCACGTTAAGATGAAGTCACTCTGAACTAGGGTGGGCCCTGAATCCAATGACTGGTGTCCTTATAAGAAGAAGGAAATGTGGACAGACACACACGGAGAAGACCACGTGAAGACAGAGGCAGAGAATGGAGTGATGCATCTACCAGCCGAGGGGTGCCCAGAAGTGCTGGCAGCCATCAAGAGCTCGGAAAAGGCAAGGAAGAATTCCACCCAGAGTCTCAGAGAGAGCGCAGCCCTGCTGCCACCTTGACTCCTGGCCTCCAGCACTGGGAGACAATCAATTTCTGTTGTTTTGAACCACCTGATTTGGGATCATTTGTTATGGCAGCCCTAGGAAACCAACACAGGAGTGTTGCCGTGTAAGAGAAAATGCAACCTGTCTCATTGCTGGGTCCCAGCCTTGCAGCAGGGTGAACGGGCCCCCAAACACAATCATAGTAGGCCTTCTTTCTTCTCTGGCAGCTCATGGATCATGTCTAAGAAGCCATGTTTACTGGGCATCTGCAAAAGGACCTTCTTGCCGAGTGTTGTACAGGAAACTCATGCAATCTCTCAGGCTTAGGCTTCCAAAGCAGCTTCGTCAGTCGTCTGGTGCAGGTTCCCTCCCGCCCCTCAGCGTCCTGAATCCTCCAGCCAGTACTTACTTACGTGGGGACTGCCAGCAATGGGGACCTCACCACCACCCAAAGCATTCCATTTTCAAACAGTTCTAAGTTCCTGAAAGGATACCTGCCTCCACAAAACTTCACCCACTGGGAGTTTTTATTATCCTTGGAAATAAAAAGTTCCTTCAACCATGTGTCAACCCTTCCAATCACAAAAGAGAGAAGTTATGTCTAATAGGATGGAAGCACAGGTACTTTTCCCGCTGCCCAGAATTTGCAGGCAAGGACAGAGGTGGCTTACAAGCTGCCAAGAGTTGGGACCAGGCCCTTCCCTGGATAGACCTTATACGAACAGGCTGGAAGCCTGACCCCAGCCCCATCAACCTTACCCCCATCTCCAGTCTAAAGAGGTAGGGGCTGTGGAGAGGGGCACAAAGCATTTTTGACACATGGACAGTGAAAGAGATTGCTCCCTGGCCCTCGAGTCCACAATTATTTGGGTAATTCCCCTAAATATATGTCAAATGTCTTCAGTTCCTATTCTGGGTACAGGATGTAGGACTTAAATGCCATTTCTTTTTTTTTAAATTTTTTATTGTTAGTTTCAGGTGTACAGAACAATGCAATAGTTATCCTTTTTACCCTCACAAAGTAACAACCCCCTTTCCCCCATCTACTGCCCTCCCACCCCTGATATTATGCTTATCTATTACAATTCCATTGACTCCATTCCTACTCTCTACTCCATGTCACGAGACTATATGTATATATAATTATAGTTGACATACAATATTATTCAACATCAGCTTCAGAAATATAGTGCGGTGGTCAGGCCTCTACACCGACTATGAAGTGGTCTCCCCAACAGGACATGAGTCCATCTGGCCCCCTAAGAAATATTTACAACATTATTGATTATATTCCCCAGACTGTCTTTCCTATCCCTGAGGCCATATTGTAGTTACCAATTTGTATTGTCTCATCCCTTCCCCTTCTCCTTCATCGCCACCCCCTCCCAACTAACAACTCTGTTTTTCCTCTGTGTCTCTGAGACTATCTCTGTCCACGTCTCCCATCCATTCAGTTCCTTAGAATCCATGTATAAGTGAGATCATATGGTATTTGTCTTTCTCTGACTGACTTATTTCACTTAGCATAATGTTCTCTAGTTCCATCTGTATTGTTACAAATGGTACTATTTCCTTCTTCTTTATAGCTGAGTAATACTCCATTGTGTAAATGCACCAAAGTTTCTTAATCCAGTCATTTATCGATGGGCTAAATGCCATTTCTTTACTGATGGTTCCAAGACCCTTCTCAAGCCTGGCTCCCAACTCTTGGTGCCCAGAAGCACAACATCCACCACCAAACCACCCAGCATTCCAGGCTGGGTCTGACCAGCCCAGAACACAGCGGCCCCACCCCCTCCTCTTCTCTGGACCCTGTGCTTCTGTTAATGGGACCGACCTGGTGTTCCTATCCATTTAGTCTCCTAAGACTTTTTCACAAGAGCTGCCTCCTCTCTCCCCGAACCTGTTTTTGTTGAGTAGAGTGTTTAGTTCTAAGGACTTCACATTCATCCCTGTCAAATTTAATTTTGTTAGCGTTGGCCTAAGGCATTTGAATAGGGAGAAAATTAATGGCTGATGTGAGAAGGAAGAGAGAAAGCCATTTCCAATCCACTTCACACATGTTATCTCTCGGTGAACGAGCCATTTGCCGTGTGGTGTATTAAGTGATATTTAGGACGGTTAGTTCTGAGATCCCGGACTGGCCACACTGCAGGGATACTGAGGTGCTCCTGGGGTCGCTGGCCTGTGTTCCCAGAGACACGTGGCCCTCTCCTTCCTGAGGGTCGGGAAACACTGGTGTGAAGAGAGTTCATTAGTCACATGGCCTCAGGCATTTATTTCTTCATCTATAAAACTTGGGAATCGGGTCAGAGGGAGCCCCTTTTGCCCTAAGATTCTAAGATTATTTTGTAGATAAAAAGTATAGGAGTGTGTGCATGTGTTAACATAGCCATTCATCTACATATATCATGAACCACT